CCCCTCCCTGACCTCCAGAACACCCCAAAAGCCCTTTCCTGAGATCACTATTATGACCTCAGAGAAAGAGCCATCATAAGCTCTTTCCATGCTGGCTGTGGAGAAGATCCAAATGTGCATCCCTAGATACAAGGTTGGAGAAACACTCCCAACTTTGTAGCTGGAAATCCAAAAAATCCTATGGCTATCTAGATGCTGTATAGCAGCCATAGGAATGCACTGGTTTCAATCACATGTTCAAATAATTGGGACAGAATAATACATTGGTACTGAAAGAGTCTATAAAATACAATGTTTTAGAGAAATACTTCCAAAAACTGCATTCTGAACTGAAATTAGTAGAAATATAAAAACAAACTTATTTTTAAACAGGCTTTCAGTGCCCATTCTTATTGTAATGCTTAAATGTCAATGCAATATGCTATGGTGTATTACATTTGTTCTCATATGCAGGAAATTTTCTACCAATCAGCATAACTAAAGGCAACAACCCAGAAAAAATGCTTATAAATAAAAATATACAATCACATTCCATATCATACATAATATACATCAAACAAACCAGAAAATATCACTACTGAAACCTACAAGGAAATGAACTACTGAATTGACTAATATTATTACTATGAAAATACTTATAGATTGTCCTTAATCAAGCCACTATTCACCCTGGGCAATTGTGCACAATTAAAACTCAGCAGTTTCTAACATGACTGCCCACTTTGAAAACCACCACAATTGTCACTGAAATCACGGTAATGATTCACACCTCAAATAGGTTTCAGCACTGTCACTGCAGTTTCGGCTGAGTTCCTCTTTTAAGGACTGTGAATAAATAACCTTGGGAGTTTTAACCCATTTCTCACCAGACTTTGCCCTCTGCAAATTTTTAAACAGGAATTATTTGTGTAAATATTATAAAGATTGTTCCTGTAAGAACTGTTCCAAGCAGAAAGATATCACCAAGCAGAGTTTTAGTAGGCAGCTTATTCATTTAACTTTGTGCTTACAGGTCATCTTATTTCATTTTTAATGGATATAAGGGCATAGCTATAACCTTAGGTCCCAACCAATATGAAGATGACTTGCATATTCACTTAATATTTTCGCATGGCTCCATATACTGTTTGTGGGTGTATCCTCCCTATCCTTTCCTACTTGAAAAGGGTATACTTACCTTATACACATTCAGCTGATTCAAAGTATTTAAAAATAGGATATCCAGCTTCTTGGTCAAAAAGGCTCCGGCAGCAGCTTGCATGCAATCAGTAAAACTAGACTCTCCCTACTCAGTCTATAAAGACATGATACACAAGGAAAAAGGGATAAGAAGGGAAGGGAGGAAAATCAAGTAGAGCTTCAGCAGGACTGGTGGAATAGCTGGTGAAATTTACCCATGCAGAATGGGAATTACAAAAAAGTCAGTGGGTGTGGTACAAGAGTGCCTCTGCAGGGGTGAGCTTCTTACTACTCTCCTAATATTTTGGCCTACAACTTCCTGCCCACACAGAAAATAGTGGAGGAGTTGTTGGACAAATCATTTGCCCACATAACTCTCTACAGAATTATTTGCTATTGGCAAGTGACATAGCAAAGATAAAGACAAGTTCAACCTAGAGTTTTTGGCTTTAAAAGCACCTACAAACATGTACCAGTTCTGGAGTCGGGCAAATCGAAGGAGCTTGCAAAAGAAAGTTACACTGACTTGTCCTATCTAGAAATAACAATTTCTGCTTGTTTCTAGGGTTGGTTTTTGAACTGCCTCTTTTCCTGTTGCACTGCTGTTGCACCAACAGTGGATGCAGTGACTGTATTGGATACTACTTCTTTTATTACCATTAAGAAACTACAGGAGTTTCACAGTAAATTGTCATATTAATACATGTGAGATTAGAATGGGGAGTTATGTATGCAAAGTTAGAAGAGAAAGTGGTTAATATATTGCATGCCCTATACATGTATATAGGTATATATTTTCATTATTTATACAGCAAACTGCCATTATTTTATGATCACAATGTTATGATCATCTTACCTTCTAGATTTTCTGTTTTTGTTACAAAATAAGAACGCTCATGGTGAAATGATTGTTTTAAATACATTGTAAAATTATTTAAATAATGAAGTTTGATTTAATCTACATACTTTACCTAGCCCTTAATTAACCCTGAATGCTCTCTCGGTTCAGTTCTTCTGAAACCAATTAAATATTGAACACGTACTGTCAAAGTGAAGCAGTGTTATTGAACTTGGAGCCAAATAGAAACATAGCAGTTTTTGTGTTTAAGGCAAAAACAGCAGTAAAACTATAGATGATCCAGTTCATATGTCTACAAAAGAGAATGTTTAAGTAACTTACTTTTTTTTGGCATTTTTGAATACAGTATTTCTAACAATGACATGCTATAAAATGCTGACAATTCAAAGGAAACTAGAAACAGAAGTTCAAATGGATCAGCAAGGTTTAACGCAACTTAATTACAAATATGCTTGACACAAATGTACTTTACAAAACTTTGTTTTCATTGCAGGAGTACTGGATTGTATGTATTTATTTATTATGGTGCAGTTTGCTCATGAACTGTAATTAGATGGATATGAAGCATCTGCCTATCAAGTTTATGAAACACCATCAGGACCTGTGTAACAGGGGAAGTGCATTGTGGCTTCTGCCATCATCTAAGACACTGGTTCCCAATCTTTTCTATAACCCAGACCCCTAGAAAATGTTTATGTTCACATTCCCAACAAAAGTAATATGAAGATGAAGAAGTCAAATTTCTAATTTTTGAACCACATACAGTACTGCAGGTGAACAAATTCACCTAAAAAATAAGCTTTTAACTCAGTGCATAAAATCAAATATAAATTAAGCAAATAGCCAAATTATCGGGGTATTTGGCAAATCGCCACACAGCCTTCCTCTTTGTCACAACACCTGAGGATGCAGGCAGCCCAGGTTAGGAGCCCCTCTCCTAAGAGACCAAGGGCTACTAGGAAGCCATATACCCTTCTTCTCAGGGCAAAGAGAAGACCAATCTAGCCCACCCATGAGCCAGAAAAGATGTTTGTTTCATGTAAGTTGCCCGAAAGAATGCTGACTCCAACAGACTCTGGCCCAATGCATTGGCAAATAACTAAGAGTCTCATTCAATCAAGAATCTCAACAAAGGAAGTTCACCCTGACTTAACATGCATTTAAATGCCCACTTGTAGCTCATGACCTTGTTCTGGCCTTAAAAAACTGATTTGTCCTTTCTTTCCACCCACTTCCTTTTTGTAATTTCTTTTATCAAGATGAACTCCTTGGAGAAAAAAAATCTGAAAATTGGGAATTAAAACATAGAAGTATGATTTTTGCACCACAAAAATGTACAGCCATCTAAGGGGGATGGTGTCCTGCAACAGCAGGGGGTTGGACCCAATGGCCTTCATGGGCCCTTCCAACTTTAGTATTCTAGGAATCTATGAAACATCGACAGCACAATCCTATACATGGCTATAGGTTATAGAAGCAAGCCCCTTTTGAATTCAATAATGCTTACTCTTCAATAGGTGAGTATACAGTTGCTGCCTGAGTCTGTCTGATGGATAGAAATGTGAGCTGACAAGGCGATGACATTTTGGGGATTTTCTTAAAAAAAAAAAAAGTCATGTCACAGGCCTAGAATTTTGTATCACAAGGACATCACAAAGGGCCAGATCTCTTTTACTTTGATGGGGTTGCGATGGTTGCCTAAACACTAGATTTCAAATATCTATGTCTCAGATCTACATATTTTAGCCCCAGTGGCACCATGAGATTTTGGATCTATGCCTTTTAGTATTTGGTAGGCTGGGATATAGAAACGGACTGTGGCTAGATAAAGGATAAACTGTGGGAGTTAACTATGATCTGCACAGACCTGTTTAGCTGAGACTTCTAACAAGGATTCCCCATTACAGCTAAGTACATAGACATTTTAAGTAAATTAATTACTTTTTAAAGTTTGATTTCTGCACAGAGTGTAGATTCTATACTTATTTACAGGGTGAACTAAATGGAGCTTACTTCTTATAAAATTTTTATAGGATTGCTTGGCTTGTAACATGAAGGGGGAACTCTAACCCCAAACTCCAACATTTTGCAGGAGGTTGATAGGTTTGTTGATCACTGTGACAGAAAAGTGTTCTTCACATATTCAGAAGCACCATCATTATTAATTTGGGATAAGAGTAGGAAAGCTTAGGCCCTCCAATTTTATGGACTACAGCTCCCTTAAACCCCAACAACCATGAGCGTTGCAGTCTCAGACATCTGGGTATGAGTTTCTAGCCCTGATCTAGAGCATGAAGAGCTAGTTTACGAATCAGGTCCCGGGGATAAGCCTTTAAATACGGCTCGAAGTGAGACCTTTGAACAATGAGGTTAATATTGATAGTAGTGTCTTTTATAGACACTTGAAACCTCTCCGTGGCGACTCCAATCTGCAAGCGCCAAAGCGCCGCCAGCAACGGAGAACAAAGTCGTCCGCCTCTGGAATTGCCCGGCCGCGCCCTCCGCCAGCCCCCCAGGCTGCTTCCATGGCCGCTTCCTTAAAGCCCACGGAAGTAAACGCTCCGCTCCTTCCTTCCCTTCCTCCCTCCCTCGCCGCGAGCGCCTGCGGGCGGTTGGAAAGCGCGAGACGGCCAGAGCCGTCACGTCCCCGTCCCACTTTCCGGCTTGGAAAGCCTCCTCAGCCAGTATTGCCCCAGCAACGTTGCATGTGGCACTGGGAGAAGGGTGAGGGCGGGGGAGAGAAGGAAGCAGAGCAGCTCGGTGGTTGGCCGGCTGCAGTTCCAGGCGGGGTGGGGCCACCGCTCTTTCTTTTCCGAAGCGGCGGTGGCGCGGATCTCTCGCCCCGCCTCCGTAGGCGTGTCGTGAGAGCGAGGGGGCGTGGTCCAGGTTCGCGAAGAGGAGGGGGCTTTGTTGTGGAGCTGGGAGGCGCCGCAGCAGTCTCGGGGCCGGGAAGGGGGTGCCCGCATCTCTGTTTTCTCCCCGGGCGGGACGGGACCAGAGCCTCCTTCCCTTCCCTTCCCTGGGGCCAGCAGCGAGGTGAGAAACAGGGCTGGGCTGGGTAGGAGCATCAGCAGGGAGCCGTCCTCCTCAGCTCCGGCACTCGTGTCTTGTGCTGAGGGGAGCGGCTGTATCAAAGGCGTCTTCTGCCTTTCAGTGGTGAATTCCCGGGGGAGGTAGAAGAAGAGACGGAGACGGTCTCTTCTGTGTGCGTTAGGATTGTATTTCAGCCCCTCAAGCAGTTTTTCTCCCTATCCCTTCGGGAAAGGGGTGGGGGAATGATGAACTCCGGGAGTTGATGTGAAGTAAAAAGAAAAGGGGGGAAGCTCTTGAACATGCGCAAAGTGCTTTTATTCGCAACGCCAGGTTCCAAAAGGCGCTGGAGGTGCATACCTAAATTAGTGCAGATTAATCTGCCCCTTGCCATCCTTTCACCGCTTGCAATCTGGGCGTGTAGCCACCCTTTCAGGGCTGGCTTGTGAGTGAAGATGGGATTCAAACCCACTTAAATTATTTATGTTCCTCAGAAGACAGCATGACATTTCATCAGATTAATTGAAATTTCCACTCTTTCGAGTTTAAGGCACTCTGGGTTGTCAGTACAGAAGTAATGAGGTAGTTATTCTGAATAGAGCAAAAGTCTTGCACAAATCCTGTACTTATAGAAGGAGAAGTTGAGAGGTGTACACTACTGTTCACAATTGTAACATGAAATAATCCTTACCTTTCTCCTTGCCCCATAAAATTAAGGTTTTAATGGTAGTACTGAAGAGCTTAGCAGGTATTAGGAAAGGTTTCATTGCTGTCAAGAGATGTGAACCCTCATACCACCCATTTCCATGCCCCACTGAAGGTGTAGTATGAGTCTGTCCAGATTTGCTAAGTTCAAAGGGATCTGTAATATTTATAACCCAAGGCAGCTATCTGTTGGGTAAACAAGTCATCTGATCTGGGGAAGTGAATGTGATGCATCATTAGGGAAATTAGAAAATTCCCATGGCTGTTCATGAACTGTGTGAAGAGATTAGGTGCAGCCTAAAGGGGTTTTATATTTCTTCCTTTGAACATAAGTGTATTTTGGGGAAACATACAAAAGAAAACACAGAAACTGCAGGGTACATTTTTGATACACTTTTTCAAGGATGTTCTCTATTGGTGTAGGAGAGGCAGATATATATGAGTAATTCTGCTACAGGGATATTGTAAACAAGAAAGCTACTCTGGCTCTGTGCACTAAAACCATGTTTGGCTTAATTAATCCTAGTCTGAAATGGCTTGCTGAGATAAGATATTTAGCTTGCTCATTAAACATAACTTTGTAGTGGGGTATAACTTTGCTTTAGACAACCTCAGGAAGAATTCAATGAAGGTTTTGATGTCAGGTCCAAATTTTCAATCTGGAGAGCGGCAGGTTGCTCAACTAGTTACATGCTTTTACTCAAGCTTCGTGACTCATTCCACATATACAAGATCATACCCTAGAGACTAGTACAGCTACCCCCATCCTAGTGTCCCCCAAAAGTTTTGGATTTAAGATTGTGTCAGCCTCTGCCAGCCTGGCCAGTGGTCAAGAATGCTGGAAGTTGTAATTTAAAACATTTGAAGAGTGCCAGGTTGAGGAAAAGGACTGAAATAAAGTTGTTTTATTTATAACTAACATTCATTGAAGCACACCCCAGGTATAACCTCAGTTTTGCTTATAAGCATGTGCTGTATGGGAGAAATCCAGCCATTTAATCTGCCTTCCAGATGTTTTTGACTGCAACTCCCAGCATTCCTGACCATTGGCCATACAGGCTGAGGCTTATGGAGGCTGAAGTTCAAAAGATCTGGGACTATGTTGAGGAAGGCTGTTTTAACCAACCATAATATTCACAGCAAGGTGATTAAACTGAATCTGTTTGGCTTTCTGACTGTTCTACTACAATAGCAAAATTTGTTTTGTTTCTAAAATTGGGTAAACTAGACTTAGTATTTTGAGGGGTGTGGAGGTATGTTTCTGTGGATGTTTACCTTGGGTTGACATTGTTTGCTCACACCTGAAGGCCCATTAATTTAAAACTATTCCTATTAACAAACTTAGAAATTATTCAAATAAAATCAATCATTAAAATGCCTAGAAAATAAAACTATTCTCACTTAGCTTCGAAAAGATTGTAGTGAAAGCATCAGGCTGTTGTGGAGGCTGTTCTACAAATAGGGTAGAACTATTGAGAAGGCCCCTTTTCTATTAACCATCTTCCTCACTTCCTTGGAGGATGGCTCTTTCAGAATGGCCTCCAAGACAGATCTTAGGGGCCAGGTAGGTACATATGGGAGCAGGCGGTCCTTCGAGTATCCTGGTACCAAGCTGTGTAGGGTTTTCTATACAAGCACCTTGTTTATAAACTAGCACCTTGAATTGGGCCCAGAACTCAACTAGTAGCCAGTGAAGATGGTAAATTATTAGTGTCACACAGGTGCATGGTCCTGTTGTATCAGCAGCTGCATTACGCTGCTCTATAGAAGTTGAAGTTTCCAGACCATCTTCAAGGGCAGCTTCAGATAGAGCACATTTTAAAATTTTTATAGTATTAAAGTTTCTTTCAATTCCACTGATGTCAATTTTCTTGAAACCTGCTTTTAAGTAAATATTGTTTGCATCATGAAGTCTAAAATGCTTGATTATTTGTCTCTTCTTAAATTGAGAGAGTTATGTGAAACAACTAGTTATTTGGAGTGATCTTTACATAAGCTGTAGGTAACAAAAAGAATGAGCACAGTCTAAATAAATTCTTATAGGATTAGTGAAAATATGTTTGCATCCATGTCATAGAACAGGTAATACATTGATTTGCCTGGAGTTTGCATTAAACACATAAGTATTATTTGGACCCTGTTGATTGTTATAGAAAATATTTGGATTGAAGGTTTAACATGATTTTTTAAAGCTGCTTAGATGTTAGGTAGTTTTTAATGGGTACTGCAGCTATGGAAATGACAATAAAGGTAACTATTTATTATTTGTGATATTTATATGCCATCCTATTGCAAAAGCCTCAGGATGGCTTACATAATAAAATACAAATATCAATATAAATAAATTATAACAAAATGTAACATAAAAATCAACATAAACTAGTCCATAACATCTGCACTTGTCTAAGTGCCTGCATGTATTTCTATCCTTTCATGGCATAAAAGAGCAATCACTTTTTGTTTTGCAAAGCTTCCCTGCTCAGTTGCTTGGAGATAATTCTCACCTGCCGCAGAGACCCAAGTGAATAGTTGTTTTCAAGCTGGTGAAAATTGCTTGATTTTTGTAAGCTAAAAGGTAAATGCATGAAAGATGCATGCAGATATAGAGATTCCACGTGCACTCAGGGACAGGGCATACCATTTAGGCACATGGGTGTGAGCATAGATATGCTATATAAATAATGATTTGTATACTAGACAAATAGACATTTGTGTAGTATAAATATATTATTCAAATAATGTAATTTTAGTAAGTAGAATAACAATGCAGGCATTCAGTGTCTACTAGAAAATAAAATCTGACTCAGCTTTAAGATTCAAGTTCTGAGTCAGGAACAAGAACTATGGGTCAATGCCAGATAAAACAGTTTTAGAATCAGTGACTTGATGCATAAAGTATGCTGGGAAATAGCTTTTCGCCTAGTCTCCTGTGGTGAGTGAAAATTGGTTCCAAACAACAAGGCAGAAACATTTTGATACAAGTTGACTCTTTCCCATTCCCACCCATCTAATATATTTTGATTATTAGGGGCAGTACCACTCTGGATGAAGCAGTTTTAAGGTTCAGTTCTTGGTAGTTAAAAAACAATCAGCAGGTGCTGAGAAAGATCTTGCCCCAAAACCCTAACAAGCTGTTCAGAGTCAGTAGATAATATTATGCTAGATGGACAAAAATAGTTTGTTCTGGTATAGGAACTAAGAAACTACCTTATCCCCCTCTCTTCTTGTGCTCTGGATTAATCAGTTACTTCTATTTTCATGGGTGAGTGGGGAGGAAGTGATCTGCAGTTCTGGTTCAGAGGGATCATAGAAATAAGGTTGCTAGTTTGGATGCTAACAGTAAGCTGTGGTTTCATCAAAGCAACCACTGATTACAAAGCGAAAGGTAAAAGAGCGTATGAATGCAAAGTATTCATGATCTGATATTACTCATGAACCAAAATCAAAATGTCACATCTGAAAAACAAAATCCCTCAAGGGTAGCCAGTTTCCTGAGGAGTAAGCTGTGTTAATATGTTGCAGCAAAAATAACAGAGTCTTATGGCTTCTTAAGCCTAACAAATTTATTCTGAAATAAGATACATCTGATAAAGAGTCTGCAAAAGCTTATGCCCGGAAAAAAATGTTAAGTCTTTAAGGTACTACAAGAATTTGTATTGTATAGTCCCTGTACAGATACAATAATAGCAAAACTATTCAGCAGCTTTAGTTAAGGCTCTTGAAAATGTCTCAGTTCTGTACCTTTATGCTTTTTTATTTTATTTCTTTGCTTTTTGTAAATAATTTTCTCATTTTTTTTTCTTTTGAGATTCATCTTGTGACCTGGGATGCCTTCAAGCCGATTAGAATGGAACTGTATATAATCTAGAGAAGCAATATAGGTAATTGTTTTGATAGAATGATTATAAGCCATGAATGCATGTCAGTCAAAGTTAAGAATTTCACTGTTTTCAGCAACATTTTAGGCCATAGTCCTAGGGACACTTACTAAGAAATTATTTTGAATTCAATGCGACTTAATTCTAGATAAACATGCATAGGATAGGGCTGCAGACTTTTCACTGAAAATATTGGGATTTCAAAGTTCTTAACTAAACTTTGGCTAAACCATGCCCTAGGGCTTTTCATAAATCAATAAATTCTAATAATAAATACTTGGATACCTAGGAACATTCTGGTCATCCTTTGTGCCATAAGTATACTTGGTTGGATCCTGACTAAGTTCATTGGACTTAATTTCCACCAAACTTACTTAACTTTGTCATAATCTTTCACATTACTTTCAATGGAATTTAGTCTGGATCCAATGCTTTTTATAACTCTCCAAGTAAATGCGAGGAGCACATATGGCCACATTTGAACACTTCTTGCATAGGTTTCAGAGCCTTAGGGTTTCACCTGAACAATCATTTTCGTTAGATGGAAGAAATCCTCCCACTGGAGGAAGGGAAGCTATGGCTTAATGTTTTGTGGAATTCTTTTAATCTATGTAGATAATCAGGAAAACTATTTTAGGGAATGCATCTGTTACAAATTTTAAGCCACACTTTAAAATATGCAGTTAAATTAAAATGTGCAAAGCTATTATGTTTGCATTTCTTGTTGAACCTGATGAGAAAATACATGAATCCCATGTCTATAATTCATTCAGAAAGATAGTATATCAATGCATGTTATTGTACCTAGGTTATTCCTCATTTGGTCTCTAGCTGTGTGCTTGTGGTCTTGTAGAAATTCACATTCTGTTTTGCAATAGAAAGTCGTTTTATGAGGTTGCCATCTTGTAAAATGGGCAAGGCAAACAAATGTTTAAAGAGAATGCATTTACCTCCTGGAAAATGAAATGCAACAATGTTGATTGACAGGATGGACATTTTGAATGCTAGAGCCATCTTTAGATTTCTTAATACAATGCAGAACTGTCTCGCAAAACACAGGTGGCTATTGGAAATGTGTTTGTTTGTTTTTAAAAAGAAAGGGAAAGTATGTTTCCAGGCCCCAGAAAAATTCTGGAATGTAGTCTGACTAAATCATCTGAACTATGGCATCATGTCATCAGCAGGAAGTCCTGGTTTTGCTATAGAAGTCGTGTCTGTTCTCATCCTAACTGCTGTACAAGGGACAAGCACTTGGTATGCATTGAAAGGTCTTTGATATGGTCATTCCAGAATGAAGTGTCTGCTTGGGCAATGCTGTGGAAAAAGCAAGGGAGAGAATCAAAGACACATGTATTAAGTTCAGTAGCTGCTAGTAATAGGATCTTTAAAGGTTTCAACCTTCTGTTCTTCCATTTGGAAGGGACTTGGATATATGGACTAAACAAGTAAGTTCCCCTAACACAGTGGACTGGTTGCATGATTGCTGGAACCCAATGTGACCCATTTAAGCCATGGAAGGTTGTGGCATGTGCCAGTAACCACTGTAAGTAATCAAGCTATGGTAAACAGTTGCTGCATCTTTTGGTCATGTATGGACTAGGTTGCACCTGTGGTTAGCAAACTATCCGCAATCAAAATAGCCCATGGGTTATTAAGCCGAGTTGATCATGCAAAACAGACCAAAGTGAGAGTGCAGGGTGGGGAGCTTGTGAAGGCACAGATGACAACCAAAATGAGCAAGGACTGGAGCAGTTTGCTTATGAGAAATGATTATAGCATTTGGAGTCTTTCCTTAGGAAAAAAAACTGAGTAAATGAGGACATAATAGAACTGTTTAAAATCATGCATAGTATGGAGAAAGTGGATAGGGAAACCTTTTCTCCTCCTCTTGTAATACTAGAAACGGGTCATTCCATGAAGCAGAATGGTTGGAAATCTAGGATGTATACAAGGAAAGATTTCTTCAGACAAGACATAGTTAAACTATGAGATTTGCTACTGCAAGATATAGTAATAACTGCCAGTTTAGATGGCTTTAAACATTGGATGAGACAAATTCATGGAGAATAAAAACTATCAATGACTCTTCATCATGCTGGCTGTACTTTCCCTCCTGTATCAAATGCAGTATGCCTGTCAGTACTAGGCGCTAGGAAACATAAGCAAGAAAGTTCTATTTTGTTCATGTCCTGCTTGTGGCCAGATAGCTGCAATGAGAACAGAATGTGGAACTAAATCAGCCATTGGTCTTATCCAGCAAAGGTCTTTTTATGTTCTTAGCAGGCTGACTGTCAGCCTCCTGACCAGCCCCTTACTATTTTCCCCTTCCCAGATGGGATGACTGTCCAGAACAGTGAAGCCTTCTTTCCTGCAGAGGGAGGATTATGCCAGTGTCCTCTTTCTACTTCTTCCCTCTCCTATTTCTTCCATATTGACTGTACCCAGTTCATATAATATGACAGGTTATTATGATTTAATTAATCCATAATTAGCTGTAGTGTGTGCTCTGTTCCCATGGGGATGTGTTATGTGATCTAGACATGGATTCACTGAGTGTTAAACAACCCAAACTTAATCCTCAGTTAGTAGTTGGGTTAAGTGTGGGTTTCAGCCCTTGACGGCCAGTTTCACAAAACATGACACAACCCTTGAATAACCCAGTCAGAGACTGTATCTGGTAGCTTCACCTGCCCTGGACATGCTGGTGTTAATCATGGGTTACTTAACCTATTATAATCTTCCATGTTGTGTGAACTGGTCTGTGCTGATCTACTGAACTTTTTCCATTTTCAAGAGTGGGGGGGTTGGATATTGAATTTTTTTTTAAAAAAACCTTCAAGTCTACGCATTGCCTGAACATATTAACTTCTTTCCCTTTTTTCTGTGGCCAAATTAAAGCCAAATTAAAATGCATATAAAATGTACAATACCTCTGTGAATTAATTGGACAATCTGTTTAGGCAGCTAACAAAGTCCTAATAAACTAATTAAATGCCCTACAAAAGAAGACAGTCTTAACCTGGTGCCAAAAGGATGCCAAAGTTGGCCCAGGCAAGCTTCAGTGGGGAGTTCATTCCCCAATTTCCAAGTTTTTCATGTTGGACCACAATGGAGGATAGGGATGGAATTAGAATTTCTCCTAAACCTTTCCATTTTTTTCTTCACTTTCTCCAAACTGTAGGTCTAATATAAGTCAGCTCTGTGTCCATTACATATGTTGTATTTTATTTGTTTCGTGTAAAAAATAACTAGTGAGAGTGCTTGCCTGTCTGTCCATCCATTGTCACCAAAGCAGCAAGACCATAACCTAGACGCATAAGACTTCTTATACATACTAAAGCAACCCTAGGGGTGTGCACTTCAGAGGTATTTTGTTTTTACATTGCATTAATTTAAATATGTCCATATGATATTTGGGCATCATATCTGGGCAGGAGTGGCCAGACTCGCTCGACAGAAGAGCCACATATGGTAAATGTCAGGTGTTTAACAGCTGCAAATGGGCACCCATGGGTAGCAGCAGTGGCAGGCAGGGAGCAAGTGGCAAGTAGGTTCCGGCAGGTGTCCCAGAAAGCAAGCAGTGAGCCACAAAATAAACCCAAAGAGCTTCATGTAGCTCTCAAGTCTCAGTTTGGCCTCTCCTGTCAATATGCAGTAACTTCTTCAGTCACTAGTGGCAGACCTTCCCAGCCTAATGGTGTATTTGTGTCTGTTTTTTGTTGAAATTATGTGCAGGTGCACAAGTGTGCACTTATGGATGTCTGAGATGTGTAGGCTCGTCTAGTTACCTTGTCTAAATTACCTTGTAAATTTCAGCTGTCAAAAAGACCAGCAAAGTGGGATAGGTAACATGCATAGAAGCTGACAATAAGAGACTGCACATAATCTAATTTGCACATAGTTGCAAGCTCACAGCTGAAAAGTAAAGTAGAAAAGTGGTGAAAATAAATGCAACAAAATGGGGTGGCAAAGACAGTATCACCCCTGTAGCAATGTAATCCTCTGGATTTTAAGTGTTGAACCGACCAGTCTAACTCTGTTCTACCATTTGAACACTTCCCTGAGTTACTTGTGGGGTCGGGGGAGATACTATTTCCCTTTTTGGAGCACTTACTGTTACTGTGGTTCCCTGAAAGTTCTAAAAACTGCACTCTTTTTTGGATTGGGAAATAGACACAAACGCAATGGCTTGAATGAAATGGAGGTGAAATTTGCACACCTGCAGTAACTCTATTTGCTTGGCAGCAATTACATTTGCATCTATTTCCTAGTCCCTAAAGATCTGGCAGGAACCTCAGTAACTGTAGCAATAAGTGCTCTGAAAAGGAAACTTCAAGTGGGTGGTGGTAATTAATAACTCTCCTTCTGGAACAGCTGGAGACTTAGGGGAGTGTTGAAAAGGTGCAGGGAGCTGGGAACTGTCAGTGCAACACATAAAGCTAGAAAATAACATTGCTGCTTTGCTGCCACCCAGTTTTGGTGCACCTACTGTGCACCTTTACTTTTTCCCTTTATTTTCCCCTTTGCATTTCAGTTGACAGCGAAGCATTGATAGTTGACAGCTATGTGCAAATTAGTCTGTATTCAGTCTTGCCCTGTAGATCTGTTACCTGCTCCAATTCTGTTTGAAAGCTATGGCTTATAAGGACATTATTAAGGCAAGACTACAAATATTGGGCAGCTATAAGTGTGCACTTGCACACCTATGAAAGATCAGAAAAAACTAACATAAAATCACAAACATTGCTCAGGTTTCTGCGGCTAAAAGGGTTTTAAAATGATCCCAGTTGCACTTTTTTGAAATTCTGAATATAAAGGGAAAAATGTTGGTGAATATACATAACACAAAAATAAAAGTCAAGGCAAACCAGTGACAAACCAGTGAATCAGTGGAAGGGCATTTCAGTGGTAAGAGAGGGGTGAGATTGCCAAGAAAGATGGGGTGTTTTGCAGCTCTTGTCAAGCTATTCACTAGCTAAACCTTTTAATCCACAATGGAATAA